GTTTGCCCTATTTGGTGGATTCTTTCCATTCTCCTTCATGGGGTTATGGTCATTTTAATCCCTCTCTAGAATATCTTTTAGTTGTTTGTGTAAGGTTGGCTTTGTCATCATGAAATTCTTTAGCTGTTCTTTGTCATGGAAGCATTTGGCTTCTACATTATACTTGAAAGAGACTTTCACAGGGTATATCAGGCTGGGTTGCAATTTGTTTTCTTGCAAGACTTGTACTATGCTGCATGCTCCTCTTGACTTGATGGTTTGTGAAGAGAAATCTGCTGTTATTCTGCTATGATTTCCTTTAAATGTGATATTTCTTTTCTCTTGCAACTTTTACTATACTGCTCCTATGCTGAATTTCCAGGATCTTGATTAATATATGTCTGGGTGTGTTTTTACTTGAGTTGATGTTGTTCAGAGTTCTATATGCTTCTGTTATTTGAATGTCAGATAGTTTCCCCATATTTAAGAAGTTTTCTGCTATTACTTCTGTCCATATTCTTTTTATATCATTTGTATTGACTCCTTCTTTCTCATTGATGCCTTTTAATATCATGTAGTTCATCTTTGCATCATCTTGCAAGTGATTAATTATTTTTTCCAGCATCCTAGTTGTTTTTAAGAGATCTTTTCTTACCTTTTTACTAGCTACAATGGTGTCTTTAAGGTCTGAAAGTCTATTTTCACTTTCATTCAAATGGTTTTGCCAGCTTGTGATTGAGTTTTTAATTTCCCACATATCTCTTTGAATCTGCTTCATGCTTTTTATTTCTTTCCTACATTGCTCATTCAAGGATTCCATCAGTTTTTTATTCTCCTCTATTTTTTTATCAGTGTCTTCTTGAGAAGCACTTAGTACATTCTTTCATTATACATATCATTTTTTTAACTTAAGAAATTATTTCTGATCTGATTTTCTCTATACCTTTCTGAAGTTGTTTCTTTACTTCTGACTTTTTTTTTTCTGCAGAACTGGGGATTGAACTCAGGGCCTTGCACTTTCCAGGTGAGCTCTTATTCTACTGGGCTATCTCTCCAGCCTCACTTCTGACACTATTATTTTAGAGATTTCTGGTGTGTGATTTCCAATTTCTTTTACGGTATTTTCTCCTGCATTTGTTGTGGGTGTGCTCGGGGCCTGAGAATGCATTTTGCTCCTTCTCTTTGTCATTGTGCATTGCATTGTCTTCTGATCTCTGGTGTAGAGCTTAGTTAGAGTTATTACTTTAGCACCATGTCTGGATCTTCCCAGTCCAAACTCACCCAGGTGGGTGTTCCTTGGGTCTGGACGCTGTGCTACACTTTTTCCTGCTGCAGCCCTTGGAGGTGAACCCTCTGTGACACTCTGATAAGATGTTCTGCTCCGGATCAGCTGGGTGGGTCTTGCCTCTAGCCTCTCTGCAGGGAGTTCTGCTGCAGGGTTCTAACAGGGCCTGTCTGATGGAGGAAATTCTACTCACACAAGGGTCTGGGCTCTGGGCGGAATGAGGACCCAACAGGCCCTGGGTGGTCTCACACACTGCACCTGGGTCGAATTTAATTTAATTTAACTTAATTTAATTTAATTATTATTTTTATGTATGTAGTACAGTGTCTACAGGGGCTCACCACACAGAACACATTTGTAGTGATCCTTCTTGTTTTTCTGCCTCCCAATGCTGGGATTACAGGTGTGCACTACCATGCCCAGTCTCAATCGCTGTCTCAGCGTGCCTTGGGACAAGGCCAGCAAGGCAGGCCAGCGATGGAACCCTCAGCCCCTGCACCTGCCTAAGTATGCTCTTTAATTGGCTGAGTTATCTGGCTGACCCTCTCAATTTAATTTAAAAAATTTTTATAATAAATGGGATCTCTGTTGTTGATTCTTTGTAGTGTTTTCCAAATAATGGAGGTTTTGTTCATGCAGTCTTTGCCTATACCTATGTCTTTAAGATTTTTACCTATTATGTCTTCCAGGAGATTTAATATTTCTTTTTCAATATTTAGACCTTTGTTCCATTTTGATTTTAGTTTAGACCATGATGAGAGATACAAGTTCTAGTAATAGGTATGTGAAAAGCCAGTTTTTTCAGTACCATTTATTAAAGAGTCTTTGTTCCCTTCAGTAAATGTGTTTGGCCTCTTTGTCACAAATAAGATGAGTAGTATTTTTGAAGTTGTTTTTGACCTTTCTAATCTGATCCATTGATCTTTGAGTCTGTTCTTTTTTCAGTACTATAAAGGTTTTCTTTTTATGTATTTAGTATAGGACCTACAATGTCTACAGGGTCACACTATGTAGATCAGACTTATAATGATCCTCCTATTTTCATCCTCCCAAGCACTGGGACTATATGCACAGACCACCAATCCCAGTCTCAATCACTGTCTCTGTGTGCCCCAGGGGTAGAGCCTGCATAGTATGTGGTGGTGGGAATCAAACCCCAGCCCTTGCACTCTGCCTAAGCAGGTGCTTTAATCCACTGATCTATCTGGCTGGTCCAATACAAAGTTTCTGTCACTGTAGCTCTATAATTTCAAGTCAGAAATTGTGACATTCCCTGCTTTGCCTTTGTTGACTAGAATGTTTTGACTATTATGTCTCTTCTTTTCCAGATGAATTCCAGAAATGCTTCTGTTGTTCTGTGAAATATGTTGATGAAATTTTGATTGTCTTTTCATTAAAACTGTACAAAAACTTTGCGAGTATGGCCATTTTCATTACATTGGTTCTTCCTACTCATGAATAAAGGATTGTTTTTTGGTACCAGTAATCAAACTAAGGGCTTAGACCTGCCAGGCAGGTACTGTGATGTTAAGCTATATTTCGGGACCAAGCAAGGAATATCTTTCCATTTTCTGATATTCTTTGTTACAGTAATATAAATTTGAGTATAAATCCTTGACTTCCTTTGTTAGACTGATATCAAAGTTCTTCATTTTTTTTTCAATGCTATTGTGAAGTGTGTGATTTCCCTAATTTCTCTCTCAGTGAAATTGTTATGTTTGTACAAGTAATGGTCTTGATTTCTGAATGTTAACTTT